AAGAGACATACATGAAATTACTACTCAGACCTAGAAATATATGTCCAGTAACCCCTTTTCTGTTCATTCCCTTCCCTCTCCTTTCCTGACTTGTATAGCAAGCATTTACTTTATTTTTTGTTTACCACCTACATATATATTCTCAAATAATTTAGTATATAATTTGATCTGCTTTTTGAGTTTTTAAAATCATGCTATAGTTACTCTTTTATATGTTGAATTTTTTTCACTCAATCTTACGGTTGTAAGATTTATTTACATTGTTACATGTTCATTCTCACTGATACCTATTCTACCTATTATTCTAGATAATATCTGTATATTCTAAAATATATGCACTATTCTGTATATACAATATTCAAATGTATCCCGCTCTAATTGATTTAGCAATCAGTTTTCACTTTGGTATAGTTGTGAGCAATGTTAGGAAACTCTTGTGTTCTTGGTGAGTAAGTGTGCTTTCCTTTTGAGTACTATAGGTCCTTCATAGTCACCTGCTCTACATCCCAGGATTCAGCTAACCCCAGATGTTACTAGATAGGCCTGCAATTGTGTATCTGTACAGAATACGGACATACCTTTTCCTTATCATTATTCCCTAAGTTATATAGAATAACTACTAATTACATAGCATTTATATTGCATTAGGTAATATAAGTAATCTGGAGATGATTTAAAGTACTATATGAGAGAGAATGTGTAAGTAATATGCAAATATTATTTCACTTTATATAAGGGCATGGAACATTCTTGGATTTTGGTATGAGGGATTTCTAAAGTGTCATTTCGGTTCTGCCTATGGCATTGCCTGCCTACCTCACATTGATTTATAGGAATTCTCTAAATATTCAGAATGTGTTAATTCTTTGTTAGTTAAATGTGATGCTGCTGTCATTTCTTTCTCTCTATATTGTCGTATTATTGTTTAGATGGCCAGAATTCTTTAATTTCACTGAAGTCAGATTTTCTACTCTTTTCCTTTATGGCTTTTACCTTTTGATTCTTGTTTAAGAAACCCTTTACTATCCCAAGATCATTACTATATTTTTCTATGTTCTCTTACAAGTTTGTCTTTCAAATTTTAGATATTAAATTCACCTAAAATCAATTTTTGTGAAGAGTGTGAAGAAGGTGATGTCTAACTCTTTTCTCCACTTAATGTATTGTGGCAGTCTCTCCAATAAGTACATAATGATTTACCTTATTATTTTTGACAACTGCAGAATTGCCAGATTTGTTTTTGATTAACCATAGTAATCAAGGAATGGTTGACATGAAACATTTGTTTTCATCGTACAACATAATAATTCAGTATTTGTACATATTGCACAATGATCACCACATTAAGTTTAGTTAATGTTGAACATTTTTAATTTTCCATCTATTTCTCAGTACAAGTATTGCTATAATTAATAATCTTGTACAGGTATCTTTGATTATCACTATACTAGAGATCTTTTAAAGTGAGATTACTGGGTTAAAATGTACATATATAACATTCAGATAGGTACCAAAAAATTATATTTTACCTCTGTTCTCAATAATAAGGAACCTGACTTATCCCTTCTTTCTTTTCTGAATGGTCTCACAATTTTCGGCCACCTATTTTGTTTTCTCATTCTAACAACATTTCTAATTCCCTGCTTCTCTAGATCTGACTTTCTTGAACCATATGTCAGGAATCCAAAGAAAATAATTCTGTTTTATTTCCTGTGCACACTTCTGTCCCCACTGTCCTTAATATCCCTTCCACCCTCTCAGCCTTTCTCTCTCTTCCCTTCTCCTTAATCTGAGAAACCCCATTTCATTTATTAATGTCTGCCAATTTTTATAAATTTTTTTTGTCTTTTGTCAATTCATGTGCTATGTTTCCTACGTTTCCTTGTTTTACTCATATATATATATATATCATACATATTTGTATGATTTACTCTGTTCTTAGTAGCATATTAATTTGTTTCACATTTGTTAATTTAATTTTTTCTATGACATTTTAAAACTGTTGGACTAGAAGGAAATCAAATTCTATTTGACTCTGACAATAATGTCATCTTTAGAAATCAATGATTAGGTCCTCAACAACTCCATCTCCCTCTACTTTAATAAGCAATGCGATTCTAAAATCTAAGTGTTTGGTTAAACTTTTCTAGTATAAGGAAAATCTTGTTATTATTATTACTATTTTTGCTCTTCCTAGTTCCCCATGAGTTGACATTGAGTAGAAGACACTGAGATATATTCTTATCCTGCTCTTCATTTCATCTCTCCCGTCTGTTTTTGACCCTACTTCATTCTAGTTGATTCCACAGAGTTACCTTAGTTCAAGGAAGATCATTCTTTTGAAACTTACGGGTTTTCTTCACATTGCTCTTGAAATGATCACAGGGACATTGCTTCAGTCCAGGGACTGTGATGAGTTTCCTTTTAGGGACTCTCAGGAACAAATCTGAAATAATGGGGTTGCTGCTTAGATGGGAGGATTGATATACTTGAGGGTAAGTAGTAGGCAGGGCTTAGTTGCCTTACAACTCCTTTTCCATATTGCAATGGCATAAGGAAAAGGATAAGCACAGAACAGTGGGCATATCCTGTCACACAAGTGCCCAGATTTCTGAGGTGTTTTGCCTGACTTTATGGGCCAGAATTTGGTGGAAGGTTTGGAGGAGGCATTTACATTGTTACGTGTTTATTCATTTTCACTATATTATTAATATTCTATGTCATATTCTACATTATAGAATTACACGTACTGGTTCTGATGATACCTCTAATTCCCTGCTTCTCTAGACCTGATGTTAAAAAGAGGCAGGGACCTCCTTGGTAGTGCAAAGGGTTAAAATACAGCACTGTTAAGCCATCTGCAGCCACTGCAGCACAAGTTTCATCCCTTGCCAAGGAGGCGACCCACATGGTGCAGCAGACCTCTCCTGGCCCACCAGCTGCTCTCCTCAGCAGTGTACTTAAGTCAGTTTGTCTTTTCTGCTCCCAACTCTGTCGCTGGTGAATCCTCCCATTGTCCCTCTCTCACCTCTTGTATGCATAAATAAATAATTTTTTTTTAAAGGGATAAGACCTAGTTGTCTGTTAGTGGGTGCTTTACCTCGTGTAAGCCATTTTGCTGCTCTTGATTTCAGTCTTACCTGTGGGTAAAATAAGGTTGAGAATAGACTCTGGGAAGCTTTGGGAAGGCAGTCTGGGTCCCAAAGAGGAGGAATGGGTGGCAGACAGAAATTCAGCTAGCTTTTCCCTGGTTGATCATTTCTTGTCTAAGACTCAGGAAGGAATAAGCGCTGGTGTTACTGTGATGGGCTGGTGGAGGGGGACAGGTGAGGGCAGCTCCGGTTTCCTAGGCACTGGTCTTTGGAACGCTAGCGAGAGAGATGGGTTGTGACAGTTCAGTGTTGCTGATCCTGAGTGACTGACCTTTGCATTCACATTCCTGGCCTCCTTCCTGGAGTCTTCTCCCAGAAGCCTGGCTTTGGCCCCTGTGGCCTCTGGCGACCCCTGTCGGAGGGAAACAGGTCACTTCCAGGCACTAGAAAGGGGGGGAGCCCAAAGAAATGGTTTCGTGACATTGAGCTATCTGGGTTAATACAATTCCATTTCTCTCTCTTGTTTCCACTCGGAAATTTAGGATACTTCAAGATAGGAATATTTTAAATTAATAAGCCATTGAGTTTTAAAATCTGGCCTGGAGAAAAGCTTAGCTGGAGCTAGGCGGAGAAAGAATGGGTTCTGGGTGGAAGTAAGGACAAAAGCTAGCTGTTATCACCACCCTCCCATTCACCAGTTCAAATCCTCATGATTTAAAGAATGAGAGCTAGGAGCAAACTACCCATAAACCTGACTCCAAGTTTGCAGTTTGAATGCATAACCCCAGGCACCTGACCTCAAATATTTACGTTTGTTGTTCTGGAACATTTTGGTCTCTATTCAACTATTATTTGATCCTGTCTTATTCCCATTTTATGATAAAATATATTTATGACAATCATTGGGAGTATGGAACTAGAACTGAGCCCAGACAATGCTTTCTTTGATAATCATTCCTGGTGTTTCCTGTCAGAATGAATTATGCTTTCACATAGCTCCTAATTGTGTGTGAATGCACCTTTCTTATTGCACTATAAGTTAACTTAGAGTTTATTGCTTGAAACTGTTGTGTCCCTTTGAATCGTATCCATTCAAATTCATGCTGAAGCCCTAATTTCCAGTGCCTAACAATTATTGCATTTAGAGATAGAGCTTTTAAAGAGGTGGTAAAGTTAAAATGAGGCCATTTTGATGGGCCATAATACACTCTGATGGGAGTCCTTGCAAAAAGAAGAGATTCGGACATACAAAGAGATACCAGGTATGTATGTGCACAGAAGAATGGTAATGATCTAAAGCAAGAAGGTGGCAATCTACAAGCCACGGAGAGAGATCTCAAAAGAAACCAAAACCGTTGACCTCTTGACTACTTTCAGGTTCCAGAACTGTGAAAAAATAAATTTCAGTTGTTTAAATTATCCAGTGTGTGATATTTTATTATATCAGCCCCTGGAGACAAAACAAACAAACTACAACAACAACAAAAAAAACCCTTTCTCTTTCATTGCATTCTTAACCAATGGTTTAATAGTTATTTAACTACATAGTTCCTGATAGATGGTAGGAACATTGGTAAATGTTTGCTCAATAACTCTATGGGCAGGTTGTTTAAAGTGGGCCCTTAAGAACAGTGATTCAATCCAGATCCTCTGTTTTCCAGACTCTGCTCTTTCGCCATACAGATGGAGGGTGTTGCATCATTCCCCTAAGTACTAGTTTCCAAATATTCTCATGTGCTCTTTCAAGCCCTGTTAAAATAACAAACAGGCATAACCCCTGCCATCTATACTTTTCTAATATTTTACTCTCGCTTGACCTCTACTCTCATTTCAGAGAAAAGCCACAACATATTAGAGCTAGAAAACATCTTGGAGATTACTAATTGAATCCTTTTCATTGGGATTTTTCTCCTCCTTGATGTAATATAATTATATGAGATACAATATGAAAAGTACAAATAAAAAATCTTTACTCTTAATAATCATTGACATTTTGGTGTGTTTTCTTCATATGCTTGTTATAGAGTGATAACTATAATATGTAAGCAAATGTCTTTTTACTCAATTAAAATTTTTTCCCCTTTTACTTTATGCATACAAGAGCTGGGGTGTAGGCCAGAGATATGTGTGTGTGGGGAGGTGGTGAGAGAGTTCACCAGAGACAGAGTGGGGAGCACTTGGATAAGATTTCCCAAAGTGGAATTACTGGATTAAAAGTTAAGACCAGGGCCCTCCCTGGTGGCGCAGCGGGTTAAAGCACAACACTAAGAAGCTAACGCCACTTCCGCATGAGTTCGATCCCCGCCTGCCCGGGAGGAGATCCACATGGCGTGGCAGACCTCTTCTGACCCGCCCACTGCTCCCCTCAGCAGTGTACTTGTCAATCTGCCTGTTCTGTTCCCCGCTCTGTCTCTGGTGAATCCTCTCACCCTCCGCATCTCTGGCCTGTACCCCAGTTCTGTACAAATAAATAAATAAATCTTAAAAAAAAAAAAGTTAAGACCAGGGGCCTCCCTGGTGGCTCAAGGGTTTAAGTCTGCAGCAGAGTTCAATCTCCTGCTAGAGAGCTGATCCACATGGTGCAGCAGACCTCTCCTGTCTCACCTGCTGCTCCCCTCAGCAGTGTGTTTCAGTGGATCTGCCTGTTCTGCCCCCCACTGTGGTTCTGGTGAATCCTCTCACCCTCTCACGCTACCTGCCTACATCCCTGCTCTTATATGTATAATTTTCTTTTAAAGAACTGGGGTGCAGGCCAGAGGTGCACGGGCGGTGAGAGGATTCACCAGAGACAGAGTTGGAAGCAGGGTCAGATTGAGGAAGTACACTGCTGAGACAGAGTTGGAAGCAGGGTCAGATTGAGGAAGTACACTGCCGTTCGGTCAGGAGAGGTCTGCCGCACCATGTGGGTCACCTCTGGGGCCGGGGCTCTACCTCGCACTGAAGGGGCTAGGTTTGCTTGCAGTGCTGTGCTTTAACCTGTTGTGCCACCGCCAGCAAGGAGGGCCTCTTGTATGTATAAATAAATAAATCTTTTTTAAAAAGTTAAAAGCAGTTTTCTGTTTCTTGATACCATGACCAAACTGCTTTTGAAAGGCTTGTACTAAGTGAACTAAATCACCAACTTTATTTTTTTTTTCCAGATGAGGAAACTGAGACCCAGAAAGAACAATGAAATGCCCAGGTTCACAAAGATAATGATGATACACCTAAAGCTAAAACCCAGGGCCAAGATTCTTAGTCTGTTCTTGGTGCAGCCTTTCGAGACCCTGATTTACGGTGTGGCAAAGTTAAGCAGCTTGCTTCCCAAGCCTCAGATATTTATGGATCCCATTATGATGTTTGCTATAGTTCGTACCACCCACCTGCTATGATTTACTTAATACTTTACT